AGAACGCCAAGGTTACTTAGAGGAACCTGGACCGGGAGGAAGGGCCGACACCTGGCGTCGATGGGAATAAAGAACCAGAAAGCCCTCGCTCAGGCGTCTGGGATGCAGAAGTGTGTGGCGGGGGGTGGGGTGGGAGGTGAGGGGGTGGGAGGAGTGGAAGGGGAGAAGGAGGAGGAGCAGGGTTTGCAGCTGCAGAGGACTCGGCTCAGAGCCGTTTAGATAAAAGGGGTCTGTGTGAGTCACATGGGGGACGGCCTGGCATGACTGACTCCAGGACCCCAGCCCTGTGACCTGGTGTCTCCCCACGTCCCCGCGTCACTCACCACGGCGGACAGTCTTTCCTCATCGTGACCACGGGGCTGCCACGGCGCCGGCCCTCGCAGCACCAAGCCCATTGAAGAACGAATGGTAACGACCGAGATCTATCCTGGTAAGATGACCAAACTCTGAAGAAACTCCACGAATCTTACAAATATTTAATAGGAAGAAACGGGTGGACTTATAAGCAAAAAACAAACAGAAAAACACCAAAAATAGTAAAAGATTCGTTGGAACTTCTCAACAACATAAGATTTCAGGGGAAGATGGAGCAAGCAAATGTCTATAATTTGAACAGAACAAAAACGCTCAGGTCCAAATAGTGCACCGGGCAAGCTGCATTCAGAGAAGTCACCCCAAGGGCGTTCTAAATGCAAAGAGGATTAGCACACCATTGTGAGAATGTAACGCAGCCGGAGACTGCGTCCTGGGCCAGAGATTTAAATAAACCTAAAACCTTTCATTATCTTTAACGGGAGCACGTCTTCTTCCCCGTGACCCACAGCCAGGCGCCCTGAAGGAGAAAAAGGAAGAAACGTCCATGCTAACTACAAACAGAACAAAACGTAATTACATACATGACAAAAGCACTCAGTATCTTATTACACACCAAGGTTTTAACAGCAAGAAAAGACACCCAGCCGGAAACAGCCACGTACTGGAACGGGCAGTTCATGAAGGAATCCCAGTGTGTGTGGCTAGATGGATATACGTATATGGACAACTATCTACTCCTAACAGCAATTTAAACAATTACAAAATTTCCAAATCAAACGATGCTTTTCGCTGATTAGCAGCTTAAGAAAGACAGACAGCGCCCGGGGTCCCTGCGGTGAGCTGTGTCCTGGTGGCAAGGCAGCCAGAGCGCTGAGATTGGGCATGTGCACACCTGTGGGTCGGCCTCTCCCTCCGGAACCTGGTCATTGCGCACAGCTGGACAGGCGTCTGCACATGTGTACGGAGCGTTTTCCCACTCACACCTGCGAGTGACCTAAAAATGCCCGTTAACAGGAGATGGTCTAACCCCATGGTCGGCAAACTGCGGCTCTGTTGACTAATGAGCTTGCAGACCACTGGGATAGGGGCTTAATCACAAGGAACAACAACAGCCTGTAGTTATTGGAATCAAGAGTCTAGGTCAGTGGTCGGCAAATGTGATTGGACACCATACAGACATTCAGTACAATTGCCGCTTCCACATTCACGGACATGGGACGCTGTACCCACACATGTGGTGGGATTGGAAACAGAGATTTCAAAATGAGAATTGTGCGATCACATTCATATAAAAAATGTGTGTGCACACGTGTGTGTGTGTGTGTGTGCGCGTGCGTGTATGTGTATGTTCCTATCCACCTAGCCACCTAGCCATCTGAAAACATGAGCATGGTCACCGCTGGGGAGTGAGATTAAGGTCTTATTTTTGTTTCCTTGTCCGTCCCTTCTTTGCCTAAACTTTCCTCAATGTCCAATTTTTAAATTTACAGGAAGGGGAATAAACAAAAGTGTCCTTATTTTAAAAAATAATCAGAGTGGTCAGCGTGGCTCAGTGGTTGACTATCAACTTATGAACCAGGAACTCACATTTTGATTCCCGGTCAGGGCACAGGCCAGAGTTGCGAGCTGGATCCCCAGTGTGGGGCGTGCAGGAGGCAGGTGATCAATGACTCTCTGTCATCATTGATGTTTCTCTATCTCCCTCTCCCTTGCTGTCTGAGATCAATAAAAATACATTTTTAAAATTATATTCAACAGATTTTGACTTTCAACAAATACTGTCCAGTTCCTTAATGCAGGTGAAGGTGGGTCTTCTTAATGCAGGCTGCCTCAATGGCCTCCGCATTGTGGCCATAAACGGACCCCGCCCCCAATGGGACGCGCAGGCCAGGCGCCGCCATCATGGTGTTTGGCGGAGACTTGGCCTCGGGAGAACAAAGGCTTCCGGTGGGCCCGGACTGGAGGCTGCCCACCACTCATGGACACGGCTCTCCCTCCCCCACCCCGGAAGCGGGAGGCGGGCAGGAAGAAGCAGGGCGTCCTGTGTGATTGGCTGGAGCCCAGGAGCCTTTCCCTGTGGTTCTGAGGTGGAAGTGGGGGCGGGTGAACGGGAATCTGGTTGACCAGGTGCAGACCGTGTGGGGCCAGTTGCCACCGAGCGTGGCTTCTGGGACGGGTTGCCTCATGGTGGGTCTAGGTGTCACCGTGCTCTGGCCACGAGGGTCTCTCTATCCAGCCTCTCTGTGTCCTTCCATAAGTCTAGAGCAGTGGTCGGCAAACTCATGAGTCCACAGAGCCAAGTATCAACGGTACAACGATTGAAATCTCTTTGGAGAGCCACATTTTTTAAACTTAAACTTCTTCTAACCACCTCAAAACAGACTCGTCCAGGCTGTGGTGTTTTGTGGAAAAGCCACACTCAAGGGGCCAAAAAGCTGCATGTGGTTCTCGAGCCCATTTGCCGACCTCAGGTCTACAGGACCGACCACACCATTTCTCACAACATGGACATGTCCCTTGGACTCAGATAGACACTGGGGATCGGATCCAATTTTTTAAAAAATATTTTATTGATTTTTTTACAGAGAGGATGGGAGAGGGATAGAGTTAGAACTATCAATCAGCTGCCTCCTGCACACTCCCCACTGGGTATGTGCCGGCAACCAAGGTACATGCCCTTGACCAGAATCGAACCTGGGACCTTTTAGTCCGCAGGCCGACACTCTATCCACTGAGCCCAACCAGCGAGGGCTGGATTCAATTTAAGCTTCCATCAGCAGCGAGCAATCGCAGCCTCCGGTCCTTCACCGACCGAACCTGTGAGTGCGAGTGACAGACCGGCTTCCACGCCATAGTTGTGGGCTGTGAGCCCTCCAGCAGCCGCCGCCCCGGCCACGGGCGCTCTGAGCCGGCCCTGGCTGCGGCACAGCACACGGATCACCCCCTCCCCACCTCTGCCTGGGTCCTCTCCCAGAGCGGCCGCCAGGCCGGAGGGCCGGGTGTACGTCCGCAGTCCTGTGCGGGATGCTGTGCGAGCTCAGCTGTGTCGCAGCCAAAGCCTGTGGCCTCAAGGGCTCCGAGGCCCCTTGGCGGTGACGGGCCGCACACACGGGCTCCGGAACCACGGGAGGCTGAGAGCGCCGGCCAGGGCGGAGCCACGGACCTGGCTTCGTGGCGGCCGTGAGCACCGGAGCCGGAGTTCCTTCCTGGACCTGGAGGCCCCGTCAGCGACAGGAAACAGGACTCGGGGCGTCCTCCCCACAGTGACGGACTCACCTGATAAGGGCCGGCCCTGCCCACGGGCCCGGGAGTCCTCCGCCCACCCTCCTGCCCGCGGGCAGGGCCCGGGCATGGCCTCCTCCGGGCTGGCTGCTCGGACGGGGGTGGATGGCGCCCGTCTGTTCTCCAGGGGAGGTTCCCACAATGTCCCGTCGGCGCGGACCACGGGCGGAGGCAGCGCCTTCCTGCGGCCAGTTCCCCGTCGGAACCACGTCCAGTGGTTCTCGGCTGCTGCTCTCTCCGCTCCCCCTCGGGGCACGAACTGCAGGCACTCCCTCCTTCCCACCTTTCCACTCGCCTGTCTGTGACGGGCACACTCCACAGGGGCCCCGTGACCCCTGCCCCATGGCAACCCCTCCCTGTGGCCCCCGCCCCATGGCAACCCTCCCTGTGACCTGCCTTCAGCCCAGGGATCAGGGCAGGGGTGACAGGTGCCCCGGGCACGGTTATGCTTCACAGGTTCCCGGGCCCCTGGCTGGACGGCCCCTTCGCAGGTCTGGAGGAAGCGGCCATGGGCGGGGGGACGCCACGAGCGACGCAGAAGGTGCTCCGGAGCTGTCTGTGGACCCGACAGGACAGACCATGGCCCGGGAAACGGGTGCGTGTCCAGACCCGCGTGGTGAGGAGGAAAGGATGTCCTCAGGTGCATCAGAGCCCAACACGCGTGTGCACGTTTATTAACCTTATCTTTTGAAATAAGGTGGCGGAGTTATTTCAGAAAGGGGCGTCAGGGTTGCGATGGGAGGGTGTCAGCTTGCTTGGGGAGGAATGGGGGGGGGGCGGTCAGCAGAGTTTGAGGACCCGGCTCCCTAAAGATCCGTTCCAACCCACCCCCAGGCCACCGGCCGTCCCGGCGGGATCTCTGCTTTACGACTTGGAAAAGGGGACGGAACAGCGGTCCGGGTGGGAGTGTGTTTGACAGGCAGGCGGCCAGCGTGACACAGGGGGACGGTGCTCCCTGCTGGCCTTGGTGGAGGGAGATACAGGGGGGCCCGGAGGTTCCCACTGGCGAACCTCAGTCTCAGGAGGAGAGACAGTGCCCCCTGAGCTGTGGCCTCGCTGAGCCCTCAGAAGCCACCCTGGAAGGAGTGACTGTGCGTGACCCGCAGCCTCACGGGCGGGGAGTCAGGCACTGCCGTTCGGGTAAAGGACTCCCACCTTCCCCAATGGACGGTCAGGCGCACGTGTCCGTGGCCGGGAAAGCCATCCCGGGCCTCCTGTCCGTCTCCAGCGGAAGCGGAGGCAGCACATGCTTTTCAGACTGGGTTCACTCTTAGCGGGGAGGGAGGGAGGGAGAGGACGCTGAGGGCAGGCGGGCACTTAGGATGGAGGGAGCCGGTCCCTCACAGCCAGCCCCGCGCTCGGGCGCCCGGTGGCGGGCCCGGCCGGGACACAGGGCTCAGGCCTCAGGCCTCCGCCCGGGGGAAGGGGTTTTTTTTGGTCCCGGTGCCCACGCCGTTGCGGAAGGACCTCTTGGCCAGCGCCTCCTCCAGCAGCGGCGTCAGGAAGCCCAGGCCCCGGCCCCTCGCGGGCCCGGCCCCGGCCCCGCAGCAGCCGGGCGGGAGGAGGGCGGAGTGCGGGGGCCCCGACACCTGGGGGGACGGAGGGAGAAACAGCGGAGAGTTACACGTTGGTTTCCAAGGTAACCGTGTCCACACCTGACAGCGACACGTCCCAGGGCCCCACGCGGGGCCAGGAGAGACCGTTGTTAACGGGACGCGGAGGCTCCAACGCCTGTCTGACCCCCACCCCTTAGGCGGCCCGGCCTTGGGCAGCGGCTCACACCCACCCCTGGCAGTGCCACCTGATGGGGAGGCTCTGAGAGGTGCTACTGAGCCCGGGGAGCGCTCTTCCCGTTTCCCGAGAGAAGCCACCCGTGACCCCTGAACTCCAGAGGCCAGGGCCCCCGGAGGCGTGTCCCTGCCTACACAGAGGGTCTCCCCCTACACTGAGGGTCTCCCCCTACATGGAGGGTCTCCCCATACACGGAGGTGGACGGGGAGAGCGCACACAGGAGAGGGACGTGGACACCTCGTTAAGGAGGAAATGCGCCCACCCGTGGCTCTCGCTCAGCCGAGCGTGGTGACGCGCCTTCGGGGAGGGACAGGACGTGGTCAGGAAGACCCGGAGGAAATGTACCAGTTTGTGGCCGGGGCTCAGACTCGGTCGGGGGGTGTCTGACAGAATAAGTGGCGGCAGGGGGGCGGGATGCAGGAAATCCAGCAGGAAAAAGGCAGCTGGGGTGTGAGCACCAAGTGGGACAATGACAGAGGCCAAGACGAGAGAGGACGGGAATGACGGCAAGGACGATGGACTCGTCTGAATTATCCACCGTTTCCGGGCGAGCGTGGCAGCCCCAGGTGCCGGGGGAGTGTCTGGGCAGCGAAGCTGAGGCACAGAACACTCGGGGACAAAACCTGTTTTAAAATCCCAAATAAAGAGCTGACAGGAGCAGCGGTGGCCTCGTGCGGAGACGCATACAGACTCCAGAGGACGCCGGGCGGGGCCGGGTGTCCCGAGCAGCTGGCTGACTGCAGTTAGGAGCTCGGCGATGTTCTCGGGTAAATGTAGGAATTAATGTCTTACGTGGCATTTCACGGAGATCTGGCATTTTACCCGCATTCCCACCCGAACACGTTAGCCGTCATCGCAGCCTTAGGAAACGCCCCGTTTTTGAGAAGCGAACCTTTGCATTTTTTTTTTAAAGCTGATCTATCGGGTGACCTTGGTTATTAAAACGCTGCAGGCTCCTCTGATACATCACCCGCCCGCCTTTTCAGTGGCCACATGCTCACTTCGGCTGCGGGTGGAGGCCGGGGAACGCGTGGACGGTCAGGGGCTAACCAAGGCCCGTTTGAGAGTGAAGTATCTATCCCCCTACCCAGGGGCCAACTTCTAAGTGATTCCAGGCACACTGTCTGATGTCCCAGGATTGCCTGTTGCCACATAAATGTTTATTTTTACTAATTTCCTGGCTCCGAATCTATATGTTTCTACGAAAAGCTCCAACAATAAGAAAACTACTCTCTGCCCCATCTCCCCTGAAAGTCGTTTGAACTGCCCAGTCCCGTCACCCACGCGAGTCTGGAAACAGCGGCAGCACTCACCTCCGGCGAGGGGGCGGGGTGGCCCCAGGACGTGGGCATCACGGACACGGACAGGACGAGGATGAGGCTGAAAGGCAATGCGCTGCCAAGTGGGAGAAACGCGGCGGTCAGGGCCCCGCCGAGAAGCACCCGCCGCCCGCGTCTCTGGGGGAAGGCGGCTCTTACCCGACCATCTCGGACCCTCCGGTCTGCGCGGCCGGTGGCTCTCCTGGCGGGTCCCTCCGGCTGGCGGTGGCGTCTCCGAGGCCCCTTTTATACCAGGAGAGTCTGGCGCAGAAATGCCAGCGCGCCCGTCCGCCGTGACTAATCGGTGCGGCCGCGGCCTCCTGTCTCGTCAGGTTTGAAAAGGACACAGCGCGGCGCTGTCACGGGCGCCAGCGGTGACTCCGTAAAGGGCGCCGCTAGCCCGGCCCCGGCCGCAGCGCCTTCCGAGCCGCCTCCCGTCTCCGGAGGGCCCGGCTCTGCCCCCCCCCCCCCCCCGAGGCAAACACGCGTATGGCACCGGGACCTCTACGAGCGGCCCAGGCGCCACGTGGCAGAGACCGAGAGGAGAGAGAGAGAGAGAGAGAGAGAGAGAGAGAGAGAGAGAGAGAGAGAGAGAGAGAGCCCCCAACACCTGCCATGCGATATGGTTTCCTTCTTCTTCTTACAAAAAGTATATTTTTATTGATGTCAGAGAGGAAGGGAGAGGGGGAGAGAGATGGAAACATCTGTGGTGAGATGTCTCTCTCTCTCTATTCTGTGACTCTCTTGGAACCCTTTCCCATCCCCATCACTTGAAAGTTCTCACACATCATCAACCCCAGCCGGGCCCCACCCCCTGTCCTCCCGCTAACCTCGGGAGGCACTGGTCCCCTCCTGCCCCGCCCCCCCCCCCCCCCCCCCGCTCCTCTCCCCAGTCCTGAGGCGTCTGCACGGGTGCTCACTAACAGGCCGCAGGGGGGCGGCCCGAGAGAGGGCTGCGCTCGGGTCCTGTGAGCTCTGGCGTCTCAGCTTCCTTCCCAACCTGCCGACCGAGGCCCGGCTTCCTGGGACCCGAGCTGAGCCTCCCCTCACTCCCGGGGGGTGGGGGTGGGGGTCTCCATCAAGACGCGTGGCCCCGCGGCTGCTGGCAGGTCGCAAGCGCCTGAGCCGGTGACGGTTAAACCCGGTGCTGAATGCGGGAGGAGACGGATGCTGGGCCCCGGACGCCTGACATGGTGGGTGACTTTCGGGCATAGGAGGGGGGAATGGGTCTGCGTCAGGGGCCTCCCGCGCAGGCTCACCGGACTTTGCCGGGCCCGGGCCGCCGTCTGGTGACTGTGCTGCGGTGTGATGTCTGTGACAGGTGCTCATGATGCCCGTTAGAACACGCGAAGGCCCACTGTCAGCCCTTAAAGGGCAGGCTGGCATTCAGCGCGTCCTGGGATTGAGTGGACCTCCCTCGTTAACGGCTGGCCCTCTCCCTGCTCACGCTGGGCCTGGCCTGAGTCACCGCCCTTTTCACAGGCTCCGTGACGGCGGCAGCCTGAAGAGGGAGGGGTGCGCCCGGGTGGCTTCTGCTTCTCGCTGGCCGACCCCCGAGCTCGGAGACACGCGGAGTCCCGCCTCCGAGGCCAGGTGCGTCCGTCAGAGGGACTTGGGAGGGAAGAGACGCAGGAAGGCCCTTTCCCTCCCGACCCAGAGCGTCCGCAGGCGCCGCTCCCCGCGGGGCTCCGGGGGCAGCCGGGCTGGGCCGCGTGCGGACGGCGGTGAGGGACACGCTGGGAAGGCCAGCGGTTCCGTGTGGTTTTAAACGTTGGCGTCTTTTTAAAACGGCGGCACCCGTGAATCCAATGCTCCTAATGGCGATGCACATGGCCCTGCGGCTTTCGGCATCTGTGGGAAATCGATTGAACTTTACTGCTTCTCAACTCACACAGCGTCACCTGCGGGAAGTGGTTACAGGAGAGGGCGGGGGGAAGGAAGCTGTGCGGACGGACGCGGGTAGTTCGTGGACAGAAGCTTTGCTCAGGTTCACGGCCGCTCCCACACGGCGTGACTCAGTGGCTGAGCGTCGACCTATGAACCAGGAGGCCACGGTTCGATTCCCGTCAGGGCATAGGCCCAGGTTGCGGGCTTGACCCCCAGGAGGGGGTGTGCAGGAGGCAGCCGATCCATGATTCTCTCTCACGTGTTTCTTTCTTTACATCTCTCCCAGCCTCTCTCTTTCTTTAAAAAATAATAAGTAAATAAAATAATAATAAAAACATATGTTTAAAACTATAAATAAAAGGGGGACGCAAGAAAGGGGAGGCCGACCAGGCCTGACCTGCATCCCTTTACGTGGCCCTGGTGGGTGTGGCTTGCCCGGAGGGCCCGTGCTGGCTGACGCCTGTTTTGGGGTTAAAAGGCCTCCAGTGCCGGCGTGCTCTGACCTTGACACACAGACACAGAGGAGCAGGGAGGACGCCATGCTGCAGGCGCCAGAGGCGGGAGCTGTCAGAGTGATGGATTGAGGCCTGGGCGCGCAGATGTTCCCCTCAGAGCGACCTCGTCTGCCGCTCACTCAGCGCGTCCTCCTGGGCCTCCCATGGGCGGACACGCCACGGCCCAATGGCCCCACGGCCCGCGGCTCACAGCCAGTCAGGAAGCATGGGGGGGCCCGCACCACCGCTCCCCTCGGAGGGGATGCAGCACGGAGGATGGGCTGGTTCTCTCTGGAGCGCCTCCTCCCCACCTCATTAATTTACACACATGCTGCTGTAGGACCCCGCCAGCGGGCTTTGGGGGTTTATCAGAGGAAGTCCACGCCACGGGTTTGAGAAGACACGTGCACCCCACGCTCATGGCAGCGTCACTTACAACAGCCGAGGAACGGGAGGCACCTGCATGCTTATCGGCGCGATGGAGTACCCGTCTCCCGTGAGAAAGAAGGAAATCTCACCCTTCCCGGCAGCACGGATGGACCTGGAGGGTGTCATGCTAGTGAAGGAGCCTGACAGAGAAAGACACAGGCCACCTGGGATCGCACTTCCATACGGAACCTAAAGAACCAAATAAACCAGCAAAAGAGAGACAGACGCAGAGACCGAGCACAGAGTGATGGTGCCGGGGGATGGGGGTGGGGAGGCCGGGTGAAAAGGTGAAGGGCTTGAGAAAGGCAGGGGGCAGTTACAGCATAGTCACAGGGGTGCAGAGTACAGCACAGGGAATATAGTCCTTATCTATAATAAGAAAAGCATAATATGCTAATTAGACCGGACATCCTTCCGGACTGGACGAAGTGCGGGGAGCCAGGGTCCCAGGGGCCGGAGGGAAGCCGGTGCTGGCAGCTGGGAGAAGGAAGGCCACGCACCGGGTCTCTAGTCATTGTAATGATGATGTGTGGTGCCAGGTGGGCCCGAGGCTTCCTGGTGGGATCTCTTTGCACGTTATATAAATGTCTAACCGCCACGCCGTGCACCTGGAACTAATAATATAGCAGTACGTGTCAGCTGTAATTGAAGAAAAAAAAAATTAGAAGATGATATGGAAAGAGAAAACCTCATCAAAGACAAGCAGTTAAGTGAATCAAAGTTTGCCAGGAAGAGAAATAAATGACGCAGGGAAAGAGAGAGAAAACAAGACAACAAAATATACGCGCCTTCAGGATCCTGCTTTCCAGTTTCCCGCAATCTGCCGTGCTCCGCACCTCCCGACGGCGGGGTGATCACTTCTGCCTGAACCTGGCAGCGTCATAACTCGGGATCCCAAACGAGCATCAGCGCCCAGCGCCGCGGTGCTCACCGCGCACCCCGCGGCAGACACGGTGCTGATGAGCTGGTGCCGCTCGGTGCAGAGGGATCACCGTATACTTCTGGTGCGGAGCATACTGACCTGTGGACATGACAGCAGGACGTCATGTGCTTCTGGCCCCCGGAGTAGGAGGGACGTCTGAGCTTCTGACGGGGAAGCACTGAGGTTGGCCTGTGAGGGATTCCAACCCCAGTGAGGCAGCGGGACCTGGGGGGGGGGGGGTCTCCGAAGGAAGGAACCACAGGCCAGCGCTCCAGCTTCCACGTGGACGGAGACCAGCATCCGTGCGCCCATCGACATAGGGAGGGCCCCTCGCTGTGCAGAGAGCACCGGCCGCTGCCGTCTGGCCGTCCATCGGGCGGGGCTGTGGCTTTAGGGTGTTTGCATGGCCGGATGGTCAGCTCCATGGCTGCACCACTATTTGCTTGTTAAGCAGCGGTTGCCTCCGGGGAGTGGGGTAGGGGTGCAGCTGAGTGAAGTGTGATCACAGGGGCATACCCAGCGGGTTTCCACTACATTTTACTTATTTAAATGTTTTTATTGGTTTTTGGATAGAGAGATAGAAACATCGATGAGGGAGGAACATCATGGATCTGCTGCCTCCTCTGTGCACCCCGACTGGGGATGGAGCCCCACACCTGGGGACTGAACGCATGTTGGTTGTGACCCCTGGATTTGGGGGCATTTGTGTCATCCTTGCCACCCCCCCCCCCCAGCTGCGGGTGAGATCGGCCCTCCCCTGGGTCTCCTGCCTCGGCAGCGGTGCATATTGAAGTGTGGGGATCCTGAGAAGCAGGGCACTTGCTAAAACGGCCCCTCTGCTTTGGATGACAGTCCTGAGTAACGGGCGAGAAGAAATGCATTTTCTAACATGAAGGGGGGTTATTAGAAACACCCACCAAGTCATGGCTGGTGTGGCTCAGTGGATAGAAGGGTCCCGGGTTTGATTCCAGTCCAGGGCACAGGCCTGAATCTCGGGCTCCATTCCTAATAGGGGGCGTGCAGGAGGCAGCCAATCAATCATTCTCTCTTGTTGATGTTTCCATCTCTCTCCCTCTCCCTTCCTCTCTGAAATAAAAAAAAAAAAAAAGAAAAAAAAAAAAAGAAAAGAAAGAAACACCCAGCAAGCATCAAGCTAATAACTCGTTAGGCATCTCCTGTCGAAGCTGGCTCTTTGGCCCCTGGAGTGTGGCTCTTACACAAAATACCACGGCCTGGGCAAGTCAAAGAAGTGGCGTTAGAAGAAGTTTAAGAAATTCAGCTCTCCAAAGAAATTCAATCATCCTGTTGATAGTTGGCTCTGTTGACTACTGAGTTTGCCGAACACTGGTCTAGGCTAATAGACATGATTTCAAAATACCCTTGGGTCAAGTATAAAACATTCTACAAGGGTTGAGGTCACCTTCTCAGACCACAA